TCTGCTGAAAGCAAAAATAAAATATCAGAGGCGTTCATGTGTTTAATAGAAGACGTTTTGAATGAAAGAATGAAGAAACATGTGGTTGGTGTTATCAAACATCATAATAAATGTGTTTTTTGTTGATAAAAGGTTTTATTTTATAAATAAACATATCAAATATTATGGAAATATTATGTGGCTACATATTTTATTTATAATTAAACGTCTTTAATTAAGAATAAAACAGATGTAGTTTTGTGTGGTTTTGATGTTTAACAATAATAAAGAATACTGTTGATTCTTCCAATAAAAATCCCTTACAAATGAAAAGTTTACATTTGAGTTATTCATATTTTTTTCTCTGCTCATTTAATATGGTTTGTTACAAATTAATTAAAATTAATCATTTTTTATTTTTATAATTTAAATTCAAAAATGGTTTTAACCAAATTTATGTTGTATGTTGTCTATTTAAACAATTTGTAATAGAAAATCGTAATTCTCAAATGACACTCTTTTTTTATGAGTTATTGTTTATATCATTTTTTCATGCAGAGAAAACCTTTGGGAATATTGCATGTGATTACGGTAATTATATAAATAACAACAATTGTATTCTTTGTTCGGTTGGAAATTACTGTCCAGATGGTCTCAATATGCATCCATGTAAACCAGGAACATATTCTTCTGCAAAAGGATCAACTCAATGTGAAGTTTGCAATGAAGGTTATTATTCAACAGAAGGATCTTCTGTATGTTCTATTTGTGTTACTGAAACATGTTCATCATGTAATAACCAAAATGGTAATTGTCTTTCTTGTAATCCCGGAAGTGGATTTATATCAAACAATAAATGTGAAAAATGTTTACCTGGCTATTATTCTACAGGAGGAACCTTTTCTTGCTCATCATGTCTTCCAAATTATTATTCTTATCTTGGATCTTCAAGTTGTATAGAGTGTGACTCTTATTGTTTATCTTGTAACAAAACAAATGGAAATTGTCTTTCTTGTTATAAAGGATCTCGATTATCCGAAGGCAGATGCTTACCATGCCAAGCAGGAACATTTCAAAGTGGTAACAGTTGCTATCCATGTGGTGGTGATAATAGCTTTTCTCTTGTAAATAGTACGGAGTGTACCAAATGTACCAATTGTACAACATGTGAGAAAAAAACTGGAAAGTGTACATCATGTAAAGAAGGACACATTTTAACAAATGGTTTGTGTTTTATTTGTGCAAGCGGCACATTTTACAACGAAACGGGGAAATTTTGTCAAAAATGTGTTATTGGATCATTTTCATCTGAAGAAGGAAGTCTGAAATGTGAAGAATGTCCAAGTGGATCTTATTCTGATAACGAGGGAGCATCTCTATGTACTGATTGTGACGATTCATGCAGTGAAAAACAGTGTAATAAAGATAGTGGATATTGCATTTCATGTTTAGCAGGAAGTATCAATAATTTCAAAACATGTTTAATTTGTAGTGGAGGGACATTTGCAAATGCAGAAACAAACACGTGTGATTTTTGTCCGGCTGGAACGTATTCAAAAGATGGTTCGATAGTGTGCGTCACATGTGAAGAAAACATGTATTCATTAGAAAAATCAGATAAGTGTACTCATTGTAATGATAAATGCAAAACATGTAATAAAACAAATGGAAAATGTGTGACCTGTGTTTCTGGTTATAGTTTAGATATTTCTGGAATTTGTATTATTTGTCCAATTGGTACATACTCTTTGGACTCTCAATGTATTGAATGTGATAATGGCCATTACCAAAACAAAGAAGGACAAAATATTTGTATTCCTTGTAATATTTCATGTTCTTCTTGTGGTAAAACAGATGGAAATTGTTTTGATTGTAAACCTGGATACGGTTTCATTAATGACAAATGTTTGATTTGTGAAGATAAAGAATACTCAGAGGGTGGTACTTCTCCGTGTACACCATGTCCAATTGTTTGTGAAAATTGCATTCGAGAAAGTGGAGTATGTACTTCATGTCAACCTGGATACAAAGAGATTACAAACAACGGAAATAAAAACTGTGTTTCATGTTCTTCAAATGGTAATTGTTTTTCTTGTGATTCGAATGAAAATGAATCACAACGAAAATGTGTTGAATGTTTGAGTGGATATTATTTAGATAACAACACGTGTTTGACTTGTTCAAATATAAGTTCTTGTGAAGACTGTTCAACAATAGCCAAAGAGTGTTATTCATGTGCTAATAATTTGATTACAGATGGAACTCTCTGTGTAATGTGCGATGTAGGGAAAGTAAAAACAAACAAGAAAATATGTTCAGAATGTTATCTTGTCATCAACAATTGTCAACTTTGTGAATATAATAATGGGAATCCAAAATGTACATTGTGTTTTTCTCCATATTTTATTGAAAATGGAAAATGTGTTTTGTCATATTCAAATTCAACTCATTTTAATTACGAAACAAAACACAAAACAATTAATGATGATGGGTGCATACTTCAAGTAAACTCATCATGTTTTTCTTGCAATAAAGATAATCATCTACATGAAGCAAAATGCAAACCGAAAGATAATAATTGCCAAAAATACTCAAAAGCAACTTGTGAAATGTGTGAAACAAATGTCATAACAACAAATGGAAATTGTTTATTAAATGGGGAGTGCAAATATCAACTGACTCAAAACGAGAACATAATTTGTTTAATTTGTAACAATAACACAGATTGTGGATTACATGATGCAAATTGCCAATATACACAAAACGAGTTTTGTTATTTGGCAAATCCTAATTATTACACAACTTTTGACAAATTTGGTCAAACCAAATCATGTGAAAATGCACAAATTTGTCGATTGGAAAATGGCAAAATGGTTGATTTTAGTTGCAATGAAATTTTTGTGTTAACTTCAAATTTTAAATGTGGATCCGATTCAAAGTGTATGATTATAAAAGGAAGTGACTGTGTTGAATGTACAAAAGATACTCATATGAATAACAGTATATGTATTTCCAATAATATTGATTGCTCAATACAAAACAATAATGTATGTATTTTATGTAACAATAAAATAACAGTCGAAGGTAAATGTATTTCAATTGAATCTATTCAATGCAAAGATTTTGGCGATAATATTTGTAAAACATGTAAAGATAATTATTACAAAGGTGTTGAAACGTGTTTACCAAAGGAAGGGAAATATGAAAATTGCCAATTCGTTGATATAGTTACTGAATCTTGTTTTGAGTGTACCAAACCATATCTTCTTGTCGAAAAACAATGTGTAACACTAAGCGAAGAAAATGATACAACAAATGTAAATTCGTCTTCAAAAACAACGACTGAATATGACGACAACTGTGTTGAAAGAAGTTCAAAGGGGTGTTTTAGATGTTCTGATGGATATTATTTAATAAATTCTAGTTGCCAACCGTGTCTAGCTCCTTGTACTTTTTGTTCCAATGAAACATATTGTACCAAATGTAATAAATATTCGTATGCGGCAAATGGTAAATGCTTTGAAATAAATGAATTGTTAAGTGTTTGTGAAAAAATGATGTCAACATATGATGGGTGTGTTGTGTGTAAAAGTGGGTATATGCGATCTTCAGATGGCAAGAAATGTGAAAAGTGTGACATATCGTGTAAAACTTGCTTAAATGATGGGGATTGTTTGGTTTGTAATGACACGTATTACAGAACACCAAATAATATAACAAAATATTGCAGTCCACAAGATGAACTTACAAATTGTTTAAATAAAACGACAAATGGGTGTACGCAATGCGAAAATGGGTTTGCATTGAAAGACAATTTGTGTCGAAAGTGTGGTGATAATTGCACTACATGTGATGAATATTTTGATTGTTCCAAATGCGAAAATGACACTATTTTAATTAATAATAAATGTGTTCATTACTCACAAATAAGTAATTGTATATCATCGGATGATTCTGTTTGTTCAAAGTGTTCAGATGGTTATAAATTGAGTAGCGACAAACTTGAATGTGCCAAAATATTTAATTATGGGCTGGTAATAATATTACCAATTGTTTCTGCTGTGGCAATACTATTTTTTATTATCTTATTGATAACAATTGTTTTAATCATATTTAACAAGAAGAAAGAAAAAACGTTAACAGAAAATATTTGTATTTTCAAGATGAACCGTTCTAATATAATAATGACAAAAATTGGTGACGAAATTCTTTCAAACAAACAAGCAATATCTTTTGGAGAACAAAACGAAGAAATTGGAATTGCAGTTGAAAGCCGTGAACTTATCTGTGTTGGGAATGGTTCAAAAAGTCATTTAAAAGTGCAAATCTCAACAAAAACAAGTGCAAATAAATACACAATAAGAACCGAACCAAAAATAATCACTCTTAAAAGTGGTTTTGCATGTGAATTTGAAATATTTTTAACACCTCTTTGCACTATGCATTTAGTAGATGAAATAGTTTTGGTTGCTCTTGATTTGACAACTGGTAAACAAAACACGACTTCAATCAAAATAACAGCGCAAACAAAGAACTCAACAAGACTTGATTATGATGAAATAATAGAAGAAAAGAAACTTGGCGAGGGTTCATTTGGAATTGTATACAAAGGGAGTTATCGGGGAAATACGGTGGCAATAAAGAAGATGAAACAGTTATCAAATGAAGAGTGTGAACTTTCTGAATTTGATAATGAAATCAACATGTTAGACAAATTCAGGAGTGAGTATATTGTCCACTTTTTTGGTGCTGTTTTAATACCAAACAAGATCTGTATGGTCACTGAATTTGCACAATATGGAAGTTTGGCAGATTTAATTAAAAATAGTAATGAAGAACAAATTGAAATGAATGTGCGAATAAAAATGATATTAGACTCTGCTAAAGGAATTACGTATTTACATGAAAATGGGATATTACACAGAGATATTAAACCAGATAATATCTTGGTGTTTTCGTTTGACTTAAATGAAAGGGTGATTGCAAAGTTAACAGACTTTGGGAGTGCTAGAAATATAAATTTATTGATGACTAACATGACATTTACCAAAGGTATCGGAACACCAAAATACATGGCTCCTGAAATTTTAAAACAAGAAAAATACACCAAAAGCTCGGATGTGTATTCATTTGCAATAACGATGTATGAAGTGTTTGGGTGGTGTGATGTTTATCCAAAAGAAATATTTAAATACCCATGGAAAATAGCAGATTTTGTTGTTATTGGGAAACGTGTTGATAAAAAGGAAAGCATTCCTGATAATATGTTTGAGATAATTCGAAACTGTTGGAAACAAAATAAAAATGAAAGAATTCAAATAAAAGAAATTACAAATATACTTGAGAGAAGTTTTTCAAATAAATAAAACACCGTTATTAATTATTTTTGTCATTGAAATGTGTTAAATCAAAAAGAAACAGTTGCAGTTTTTTATTTAAATTTTTTAGTTATTAAAACTTTTTAATAACAAATATTTGAAAATATTTTTAATAAAATAATATTATTTAATAATAAACATTTTATATAATAACCTCTACATTTCACTATTATGTTTAACTCTATTTTTGTTTTTTTGGTGTAAATTACAAAAAAAATAACCTATTAAATTGATAAACGAATACAAATAATTGATTAAAAAGCGAAATAACGAACTATAAATCCAACAATAACATACTCAATATTTTAAATTCATCGACAAATAAGTCAACACTTTTACAACAAAATATTATTGTATATATTAATATATTTATTTGGTTTTTATAATTAAAAATAAAGAATTTATTATATTATTTTTTAGTGTTTTTTAAATGTAATAAGAAATGAAAAACACACTTTAAAATGTAAAAAAACAACTAATTTGTCATGTGTCCCTCTTTACTTATTGTTTTTGTTGTCGCCATGTTTGCCAATTCGAAATATATTCACATAAGTCTAACGGGGAATATCACTACTTTAAAGACAGCTTGTTCCCAAGTCGAGCCGGGTGATGTGATTGAATTTTCCAGTGGCATTTATCCACCACAAGAAGTCCCCCGGCTGACAAATGGCACTGCCGACCATCCGATCATCATTCGTGCCGCTTTGAATGCTGCAGTTACTTTTCAGACATTCACAGGAAGTTCCTCTGTATTTAAAGTTCTTAATTCTTCCAACATTATCGTAGAAGGTCCATTTACAGTTCGTAGTGGGACGGGGTACAGTGTCAGTGTTCAAAACTCCACGAACGTGACGCTCTCCAATTTCAAAATATATAACTCGACAAATTGGGCGATGTTTGCCTCTGGAGTTAATATTGTTATTAAAAACAATTATGCGGAGGATTGTGTGATGGCGCATGAAAATTGCAAAACAAGCAGTTGGATGCAATGTTTTGTGACCGGTGCGATAGCCCCAAAGGTCCCCATTCTCTCCCGAAATATCACAATTGAGAACAATGAAATCACAAAGTCATGGGGCGAAGGTATTGACATCATTTTGTGCACCGATTGCACAGTCATAAACAACTATTTGCACGACGTTTTCCCTATTGAAATTTACATTGACAACGCACACAATGTCGTTGTCGAAAATAACACTTTGAAATTCTCAAATCAGTCAATTTGTCCACAAAATATGCAATACCACGCCATAGCTATTGGGAATGAAGATTGGCCTGAAAAGGTTGTTTCAACGACAAATATAACGATACGAAATAACTTCATTTGGGGCTCTGGATTTGGAGTTGGGTATTGGGGGTGGAGCGACGTCGCTTATTATAGTGACATTGTGATAACTCAAAACACATTTGTCAATGTCTACGGACTTACTATGGGATTCCAAAATGCGTGTCTCGTGAAGGGGAAGAGCAAAAACAATCAATTTAAAAACAACTTTGTGTACACGACGTATAAATGGTATGCGGCAGTGGTGAACGAAACAGAAAAGAATGCGTGGAATATATCAGATAACGTGTACTATGGAGGATACGCCAAAATTATTGCTGACTCGTGGAATGGAAGTGACGGAAATGCACATTCAATACACTTTAGAGAAAATGACACGGCTTTTAGCGACTTTTTTAAAGGTGGGTATTTTGGAAATTGTTCGAATGAAAGTTATTATAATTGGAAAGTCGAAAAATACTGTTTTATCCCACATAAAGAGTCGGTGTTGTATCACAAAGGAGTATACGCGAAATACTCACATTTGGATGGGAAATTGGATATAGACGGTTTTGATTGCGCAAGAAATGAGATGAAACCAAGTATTGGAATGTCAGAAGGAGGATACGCGTGCAATCTGAATAAAGCAGAAAACGTTTTTGTTGGTATTTTAGTCGTGTTGATTATGATAATAATTTAACAACATTATTTGTTATTTTCTATTATTATTACTATTTAATTTCATATAACTATCAAGCCAAACAAAGAATTCAATTAAGATATCGAGACGCCTCTATTTGGGTATGAATTCCGAATTTATACACAATAATAATGTAAGTTACAACATAATTATTTACAGTTGGTTAGAAACGTTGGCTCCACATGGAGATTGATTCAATTCGCGCGTGGATTGAATGACTGACAAGCTCATTAAACAAGCGCTGTGTTTTGTTAAGCAACTTGATGATGTTTGAAAGTTCTAATTAGTTGCAATCAATCCATTGCCTCGAAATGCTGTGTTTTAGTTTTTGGTTGTTAAATTCTGTTGCATCGACTATACAAACAACAGAATGATTTTTTTTATACTTTTAATAATGAGTTTTTATATGTTTGCTAAACCTATATTTTTAATTCCAAAAACAAACATTGAGTGGTTGCTATTGACTTTGTATTGTATTGCCAAAAACATGAGAATAAAATGTCGTTTTTCTATTCGAAGTGTTAATTATATTGACCCGAATTAAAATATTTTAACAAAAAGTTTGGTTTTATTTTCCATTGTTTGGTTTTACAAGTATTTTAATATTTTTTTGTTTTTTTGAAGTTTTATTAATGTTTTTAAAATAATACAAAATGTTTTCAAATAAAAAAAGCGATTACAACCAAACAACATTCGCCACAAACATTTGAATTGGTTAGCAACGTAAAAAATATACGAATACGTGAATAAAAGATTGTTGTAAATGAAAATGACAACAGTTAACACTGATGATCTCGATTATTTAGTAAGAAAATCAAAGAATGAAATGGAAAGTGCAATATTGGTTATGAATTATGTCAATTCATTTGTAAACAAAAAAAATATGGAATTTCAAAAAATAAGTCTCGAAATAAGTGTCAAAGTCAAGGAAGGCTGTTACAGTTAGTTTCACAATAATTACTATTTTTACATAACAAATAGATTTTTGTTTCATAACAATTGGATTTGTATATTTGTTCAGCCCTGTTTCAAAACAATTGTTTTTTGTTGCACAATTTGTGTGATTGTTGCATAATTGGTAGTATTGTTGCATAATAATATTGGGTGTTTCAGAACTATTTATTTATCCTCAAATCAATATTTGATTGTTCCAAAACTAAGAGTTGTTTCATAATTATTGTCTATTGTTTTAAAATAATATAGGATTATTGTATAATTGCTTTGTATTGTTTCAAAACAAAAATCAACAAAAATAACCAAAATAAATTTCAAAAAATATAAAACTGTAAAACTACACTTTTTAATAAAATTTGTTAATTATAAACAGTTTTACAGTTATCATTGAATAATAATTGTTAAACCAAATAAAAAAACTTAATGTGATTATAAGTCTTCACGTGAAAACACTTTACGAGTCACTACCTAGTGAAATGAGTTATGACTCTGCGTATTTCAGCAGGTGTTATAAATTCAAAGCATTCTGCAATGTTTTAAATCATATCTTTTATATCAATATTCTGCAGATTACCAACCCAAAGATCATTTCAATTGGGTTACATTCGGGATTATATGGAGCATTGAACATTACTTTACAGCCTTTAGTCTCTGCATAAGGCACTAATAAATCCAAGTGTACCGAGGCGTTATCCATAACAAAAACAATGTTGTTTCCATCTGCAGTGAACGCATCTACAAGTGTCTTGAAGTATCTTGTGAATATTGCACCATCCACTACTTTGTTAAACAATTTGCAATAATTAGAACCCGTGTCACTGATGGCACAAACACAAGACAAATTAAATGTTGCAAGAGGTTGCTCTCTTATTTGTTTTTTGCCTCTCTCACCCCACATTCGACTTCGAACGTTGTCAACTTTCCAATGGCTTTCATCAACAAACACCACTTGCATACCCGAGTCCATGTATTGTTGCAACGTTCTTTTCTTTTCGATTCTGAGTTGCTTGTTCTCATCAGTGTTTGCTCGGACCCCCTTATTGTAACCTCAGTAAAAGACAAAGGAGGAAGGTTCACTTCTTCCATTATATTTTTGTTCTTGATATAACGACACATTCTTGACACACTAACAACTTCAAAATCAAGTTCCTCCCCCGTTCCAGTTTTTCCATTTCTTCTTCAGCAAGAGCCTTTTTGGTTTTTCTAAGAGTTTTTCCTTCAAGTGCACTTTTTGGCGACCGCAGAAAGGAGTGCTTAACTATATTTAAACTTTCTTCCTCTTTTTTTGGTTTAGATATATTTTCTCCTTTTGCTAACTGTCCCAATAACATCTTAAGTGATGACTCACCAATGCGGTTTTTCTCTTTATAATACTTCCAGTCTAATGCCTTAACATGTTCGGCATATTCTTCTGTTAGCGTCTTCCTCTGTGTTTCTGTTACAACAACGTATATCCTTTTGATCCTTTCCTCCTCCGATTGTTGAGCTGGGTGAACAATTGACGAAGGCGTGAGTGGGACCAACGAGGCGACAATATCTTCGGCTGATATTCTTTATGCTATTTCCACTGGTTGTGGTGCTTCTGCAACTGGGGGAACCTCTTCGTGGTTGAGGAATCCATCGACTTCATCCCGGTGGATGAATTCAAAAGAAGCGATAACCATCACTGTAATTTAAGTTCATATTTTTATATTTTTTGAAATTTATTTTGGTTATTTTTGTTGATTTTTGTTTTGAAACAATACAAAGCAATTATACAATAATCCTATATTATTTTAAAACAATAGACAATAATTATGAAACAACTCTTAGTTTTGGAACAATCAAATATTGATTTGAGGATAAATAAATAGTTCTGAAACACCCAATATTATTATGCAACAATACTACCAATTATGCAACAATCACACAAATTGTGCAACAAAAAACAATTGTTTTGAAACAGGGCTGAACAAATATACAAATCCAATTGTTATGAAACAAAAATCTATTTGTTATGTAAAAATAGTAATTATTGTGAAACTAACTGTATATAATAATTATTATATATTTACTTTTTCATTTTTTTATTATCAATAAATAGGTTAATAATTGGTTTGTATTATACCTAATATTAATATTAGTTATAATTCCAGTTAAAATATGTTTTTTAAGAGTTATTGAATTGAAATTGTATTATGAAATGATCAATTACAGTAAAGAAAATGAACCTTAGCCCAGGAAAATAATAAATTTGTCACCCAATTAATTCTTGTTTTTCATAACAGTTAAGTAAAAAGTGGGATGCTGAGAAAAAGGGAAATGCTAATTTAAATATTAATCAATTTAATATTATTAATAATAAATAATTAATATCAATTTATTTCGGTTTTTCATTTTATTAATTTTTTGATTAATAATTTATATTAAAATTAATGGTAATTATATTATTTTTCAATTGAAATTAACCAATAGTTACGAGCATCCTCCTTTTTCGAGCATCTCCATATTTCCTTTTACTATAATTACTTTATCTTTATACATCTTATTATTATTAGAGTCAGTCTAACAACGTTGTCTGTTCCCCAAACTTTGTTTTTTTGCAAAAATAATTGCTTTTTGTTACTAAAAAAACGGGAATTGGGTAAAAATGAAAAAACTGGTAAAAATATTGAAACAATGATTATTTAGTTTTTCAAAAAAATTCCCGAAATATTTCATTTATAATGGTCTGAAAATCAGCAGACAAAATTTCAGACCAGACAACGTTTAGCAAATAACTTTAATAATATTTTTTTCCTTGTTATAATTAAACAGATTTTAAAGTCTCGTAATTACAGTTAAGCCATTAAACCTTAGCCCAGGAAATTAACCTTATCCCAAAGAAAAACCAATTTATTTCTATTGTTATATTAAAATAATAAACTATACCGATATAAAAGTCATTTATTTAAAATATTTGTTTTTTTAGTAAAAACCCGTGTTTTTAAAGAAAAATATAGGAATTTCTTTGGGCTAAAGTAAATTTCCTGGGCTAAGGTTCATTTTCCCTACTGTAATAATGAAAAATAATAATCATTTAAATTAGTCTTATTAAAATAAATTTTAAGTTCATTTAAATTAATTGAAAATTATTTGAATTGATTTTGGTTAAAAATTATCATAAATACCCAATTAAAAACTATATTGTTAAAACAATATTTATAAGCCATTATAATCATTAAGGATTGTTATAAATGTTTTTTATCAACAATATAAAGATTATTGCTTTTTATCTTATAAATTCAAAATGTCGACTGAACAACCGAAAAAAACGATTTCAATTGGCATTGATTTTGGCACATCCAAATTAGCCATTTCATATTGTGATAAAAACCAACACATTCAAACTGTGACTTTTAATGATGGCTCATCGATCACTCCTGCATGGCTACGATTTATTAGTGACACTCGCAATTCACCAACAATGTCTTTCGTTGTTGGCAAACAGGCTAAATACCCCAAAGATGAACTGAATTACGACTGCACAATTTACAACATCAAGCGTTTACTTGGTAAAACATCTGAAGAGTTATATAAAGAGTCGAAAAGTTTATTAAAGATTTTAAAGAAGATAATGGGCATGCTGTAGTTGGTTCTGAGCCAGAACCAACTACTTTCCGACCCAAAGAAATTGCCGCCCTTTTCTTCAAAACACTGATGAACCAAATTAAAATGGAAGTGCCCGATCTTGTAAGACCCAATATGTTCGTTGGTGTTCCCGTTAAAATGACTGCGGAAGCTGTTCAAGATTTGACAGATGCTGCCAAGTTGGGTGGTTTTGAAACCGTTGATATTATCACTGAGCCGATAGCAACAGTTCTCTGTTATTTGGATGCAAACAAGGATTCAGCAGCAAATAATTTTATAGTAATTGACATTGGTGCTTGTACCCTTGACATTTCATGTATTCAGAAAAATGTATATGGATATTATGAGTCGGTTTACTCCGATGGAAACAACGACCTTGGTGGGAACAATTTCGATGCAATTGTATCTGAAATGATCAAAGAAAAGGTTCATGAAATTGATCCTTATTTTTATGAAAAAAGGCCCAATACTTTGATTACAGAGCGCTTGAACAAGAGGAGCCGCCTCAATATCCTCAAAAAAGTTTCTGAAGAGACAAAAATTGCGTTTTCCACAAAATCCCAAGTCGACATCGAATTTAAATATTTGTTGACAGAAAATGATCTGAAAAACAAAGTTTTGTTACATGAGTTTGATTTCAATGATACATTTATTTTACAAAAAAGCGAGTTTATTAAAAATTCACAAGACATTTTTGATGGAATTAAAGATACAATTGTCAAAATCTTGAAACATGCAACAGTACAACTCAAAAACTTTGGAAAGGTAATTTTAGTTGGTGGAGGTGCGCGTATTCCAGGTGTCAAAGAAGCTGTTACAAACGCGATAATCAGAGTAAACAAAATTGGTCATTTCATAATTGAAACGGAAGATAAAATGACAGCAATTTCTGAAGGTTGTGCGATACATGCATCAAACAATTTGGGTACAAATGTATTCCATCACAACATCCAGAGATCGTCGTATACAGTGGGACTCAGTGTAGGTGGTGTTTTCGAAACTGTTGTACCAAGGGAAGTCGTATTGCCTGTTCACTTTGAGAAAATGTACGAATGTGAAAAAGGAGAGAAAGAAATTGTTCTGAGGTTTTATAAGACCGAAATTGAATTAAAAAATAGTGTTGAATACAGAACAAATTGTATAGGATTCAAACATTTAACTGACGTTAAAGTTCCACCTGGCGACTCTGTAAAAATAGAAGTGGATGTCGATTTAACTGGAAACATTGCAATCAAAGCAACTCTAAGAAATGGTCAAGTGTTGAAAGGTGGCATGTTAGTTGATACTTCATCATTCGACAAAGATCTGCTTGCACTGAAAAGGCACATCGAAAACACAATAAGTTTTAATTGAGTTTAACTGAACAAAAGTTTATTATCATTTCTTAAGTCGTTGTTTGTTGATATTGTCAACAATGCTATAAAATACATACAATGTTTTTTTAAAACAGTAACACATTTCTCAATAACATACAACGTTGTTGGTTTTATTTGATAACATAAGTTTTATTCAATTGTATTAAATACAATAACATTCAAGTAAAAATAAATCAAATAATTCGACAGACACTGTAATCATTTGTCAAATCTCGTGGTTGTGCATTCTGTTGATATTCGAGTTGTTGTTGATACAAGTGCTCAAACAATACATCATTGTCACAAATCTTACCTATAACAAAGTCAAACAACTCATTGACTCCTTCTCCCGTTTTTGCTGAACACATCTTAAATGTGACTTCTTTTTCTCTGTTGCACAAATTTTGTGCCATTTCATCTGTGACAAGTGGATTGGCTAAATCAACTTTGTTGCATACAACAACATAAATGACGTCATTTGTAGTCGTTTTTCTCGCTGTTTCAATCCATGTATGGACATCCTCAAACGACTTTGGATCGTGTGGATCAAACACAACTTGATATTACTCAGTGTTATAATATGGAAATAAGAATAAACAAACCAAGACAAATTTGTGTATTTCTGAATATCAAATCATAATTTTGTTTTTGTCTAACTATGTGTCATTCAATGTTTGTATTACTCAAAGGGTGTTTTCGTTTGAGTTAATTAGTGTTATGAAAATTATGAAAGTGACATACCTACATCCCACAACACAACTTTGATTTCTTTTTTGTTGTAAACCATATATTTCATATTTAAGGCGCAAAAAATTGAATTGACATTTTGGTCGTGAATTTTGTTGTTTACAAAGCGCTCGATGATTGACGTTTTACCCACATTTGCATTTCCAACAACACTTATTTTCAATGGGACAACTATCTCTTCCATTTCTTTTTAAGATTTGATAGTTATTTTTTTATATAATTAATTTGTTGAGTTTTAATATTAAAAATGAGAAGTGATGTTTTTATTTATTACTCCACATTCTTTTCATTAAATCATATCAATATTATTTAAAAACAATACAATATAATCATAAATAATAATATAATGTAATATAATAAAATGTAATATAAATAAGTAATGTGATTTATAACATATAAAAAGTGTTAACATACCAAATTTTACACATTGACTGTATTTACATGTAAATTTGATAATAAATCAAACAAAATAATTAATTATATAGTGAAACCAACACAAATTATTATTTACAAATTATAATTATTTTAATGTTGTTAAATACCATGAATATATTTTATATAAAAAATATTCAAATGAGAACTTAAAACCAACACATTCAATAAATGTCGAGATTGGACAGTTAGTAACTGATGATCGTTTCATAATGTTTCAATTCAATTTCCGATTTTATCAACGCAGAGATGGTTTGTAAAAAGTATCACTCAACAATGGAAAGGTTCCACTCAAACCCAATTCCCCTCACACAAAAGACAATTAAATATTTCCCTCACATTGAGTCTCTCAATATTTGGTCCAAACTCGATGAATTGTTTGGTAATGAATTTATTGGAGACAATACAATCGATGTTGCACAAACGTGTTGTACATCACCAAACAACACTCATAACACTAAAATATCGTTTTTTGAAATACTCATTTGGTACAAAGTGTCATACACTTTCACACAGCACAAAAAATCAACAAATTACAAATTCAAGAACATCTGTCTTGAACACACAGACAGACAACATTTGTCTTCCCAGATACCCCGTGTGAATAGCATTGGTGACAAATGCTTTTACAAAAGTACATTTCTCAATGAAGTGACACTTCCACAAACACTCACGTCGCTTGGGGAGTACTCCTTTGCAAGTTGTGATAAACTGACATCAATACTTTTATCTCACAATTTGTGTCACATTGGGAAAAACACTTTTGAAAATTGCACTTCACTCGTTTGTGTTGTTCTTCCAGACACAATCAAAACCATTCCCACTTCGTGTTTCCAGAACTGTGTTTGTTTGGCCGTTGTGACATTTTCAAGACAACTTGAGAAAATAGGAAACAACGCCTTTTGCTGTTGTTCGAGTCTTGAAATTGTTGAAATACCGCCAACTACAAATTGTATTGGGAAGTATTGTTTTCACAATTGCACTCGTCTGCGTCAAGTCAACATCCCAAATGGTGTCAAAGTACTTGAAGAGAACACATTCTGCTGCAACGCATTTACTCAAATTGACATTCCAGAGGGGGTGACTGAAATTGGTGATCAGTGCTTTTATGGGTGTAAGTACTTAGAAAGTGTTGTTGTGCCTGACAGTGTCCGCCGTCTTGGCAATTTCTGCTTTTATGGGTGTCGAGAACTGCGTGAAATCAAAATTGGAAACAACGTGGAAAGTGTTGGGGATTTCTGCTTTGGTGTGTGCACATCACTCACAAGAGTGACCACACAACACACTGTTTTTTCCCTCTGTGAGAAGTTGTTTGATAAAAACATCGTGTTTTGCAACGATAACAACTCTTGTGTATAAATTGTGAATGTTTATAACTGCGTTGTACATAATGATATCAACATGATACTTGCATAAAACCAATATTTTGTTATTACTTTTAGTAAAATTATTTTAACAACGCAACCAGCAACATCCAATACTTCAACACAAAAACACATTTTTTCATGGAAGGAGTTTTCAATTGATAACAGCGCAAATAAAAACGATTCATATTTACTTGTTAAAAAAAGGTAATTACAAGAACTTATTCTATATACTATATTTATTACTATTAATTGTTAAAATAAAATAATTTGTATTTATTTTTTTACAAAATAAATAACGAGTTGTTGTTATCAATAATTCCATACAAATTCAACGATATAATTAACGATGGTTTCAATTGACAATTTGTTAATTACAAATAACTGTTAAATAGAAACAGATGTTAATTTTAATTGACTTGAATCGTGAATTCTTATTTCGTTTTGATGTTTTAGAATTATTCAATAATTCTCTTTATATGCACAGAATATATAGAAAATAACCAAAACTCATAAACACAGAACACGCCACATGGCTGAAACATCAGAAATTGATTTTGCCTCATTGGAACCGACACTGCTCGACCGAATCTCCACAAGAACATATGGCACGGTATATCCAACAGCTGACCAAGTGACTGCAATCAACACATTCATCGCCAAAATCAACTCGATGAATGCCCCATACAACAAGCCATGCAAATTTGCACTTCAGATGGAAGATTTCAGTTCATTCCGTACGTTTGGGTTCATCACAGGCTCGAAGTATTGGATTTTCGGTGTGACGGGGAAAAATGACCGGAATAGCGACTTGTCGTATGGGTATCTGATGCACCTGATCATACTGGAATGCACCCGCCTCGGCCTCAAGACGGTGTGGTTGGGTGGGACATTCACGACGTCCGTCTTCACTGCAATTCAGTACAACTCGTCGACTGATTACATTCCATGTGTCTCTCCAGTTGGAAACAGTGGCAATGGAAGTGAACTCATATCGAAAATGGCGGGCTCGCGAAAGAGAAAAGAGTTGAGTGAAATCATTTACATTGGAAATGCAGAGACTAAATACAGCAAGGAGAACGCACCAGAGAAGTTCACTCTCAAAATACTTGAGGAGATCAGATTTGCGCCAAGTGCTTCGAACAAACAGGAGTGGAGAATTGTTATCAGCGAGAACAAAATGCACTTCTTTGGAATCAAAGGAAGTTGGACAGCACTCGACATGGGCATCTGCACCGCACAGGCACAAGTCGCGTTGGCTGGAAATAAAGTCGAAGGAAAGTTTGAAATTGAAAAGCCAGAGATTGGTGTGCCTGGTGACTGGGAGTACTTCATCACATTCACAGCAACTAACTGATGTGACAAATTCATTTTTTATTCATCTTTTCATCATTAAATTCAAATTTTATATTTTGTTCACATCTTAAAGAAAAGACCTGTAAAAAAAGACTGAAATGTTTCATTGTGTGAACTTTTTGTGATTTTTGAAATGCAGAACAAAAACACAAAGAACATTTATTTTGTAGTCATCCCAATGATTGGATGTAACTCCCTCACAACTATCTCAGGCAGCGCGTTCTTGTATTCAACAAGAACATCCTTTCCATTAACCCTGAATTTGAGTACTGGCGGTTGTGCCATCCCCGCTACTATCCCCATCACTTGAAAGTGAATAACACTGTCATTCTTCGGGTCAACATGAACAATCTTTCGTACAAACCCACACACACAAATCGCTTCTGAACTTTCTATGAGAACTTCAATCTCGTGGTGGTCTTCTATGCCTCGCAAATGAGTAAACACATTCATGACTCCACCTACATTGATGATCGGCTCGTCAAACTCAAATTTGACAGAGCAGTATACCTTTTCTTTAATAAAAGTGATTGGGTTGTGGTATTCATAGACGTTCCCATTATGCTCAAATTCCAGTGCAACTTCCCCACTCCCAACTCTTCCTCCCTGTACCTCGACAAGCAGATTCTTCGCTTTATCCACTTGTATTGGATTGACTTCTTTTAAGCATAAATCCTTGTTAATAGTGACAACCAAGTTTTTCACGGTAATAGTGTTCTGTGTGTTATTCGTCAGTGGAAATTTGCCGACCCAGTTGCCTTCACAATTTTCCAAGTGTACAGTGAGTGGTGTAATTATAGGATCAATGACACTAACAAATCCATTATAAGTCACGGGGTATACTCCACTACATTTGATAGTAAATGGCGAAGCTGGGTTCTCTCGACTTAAGCCATGAATAGGCATATAAAACATAATTTCGTAGGGCGCCTTAAACAGTGAAGTATCGATTTTGCGATGTTTCATTTGAATCTTTCCTTCATACTTCTCGGTCTGGCTTTTAAAGTTATACCCCACTTGTGCGGTCTTAGTAAAGAACTTTCCCTTCGCTTGCACCAAGTTGACTGCAGAGTTCACAGTCAATTTTAACCCAACAAATCCCTTCCACTCTTTGTCGACTTTAATAAACTCTGGAAGTACACATTCAACTGAAACAGGAACTAATGAATATCGATCCATCTGTCTTATGGGGACTACAAGTGTTGGCCCTTTTACTATTTCAATAAGCACTTTCGTCGATTTGAGTGTGAATTTTACCGGAACATGTGGCTCGAAATTATAGTTTTTCCCGTCGATAACGCAGTTTAGAGGAATCCCAATTTCAAGGGTTAAGACGGACGGGTGCACTCCAACACTAATTAAATTTTCTCCGTCGATCTTCTCTCCGCTGACCGCAGTCATTCTTTCTTTCACGCGTTTCACGACTTCCTCATACTCCAACAGTGGATGATTGTTAATAATGAAGTTCTGCATCATCCAAGTCTTCTCTTCACTATTTAACTTCCCGAGGACTAACAAATGTAACAACACACGCATTTTTCTCCTTTCGATATCAGTGCAGTGATATGCAAACACGAGACAATAATACGCCCGTACCTTTCTCTTCATTTTCAATAACTTATTCCCAGCATCTATTAACACATTCCACGCATCATCGTCTTGACCAATCTGGAAGTAAAACACCCCAAGCTTCATTGCTAACAAACAACGTAAATACCCTTCTCGCGTCGAGTTAATAGCCAACATCAATTTTTTGATCATCAAGTCGTTAAATATCGCCCGTTCCTCGGTGATTTGATTCAACGTCTTGTCCGCAAAGATCGGTAACTCCGTGGAAGAACAACACCGCTTCAACGGAAATTCTTTGTCCCAATGTAACAGGTCTGGCGTGGGCGTGAAGACTCCCAACGCAATGCCGATGTTCTCGAGCACTCGGATCTCTTGGAAATTGAAATTGGCGTGATAACTCTCGGGGAAGTACGTCTTAAAGAACTCCGCGGAGGTGTATGTATAGACTTCGATGTATAATGGTGGTATGTATTCACTCTCCCCTATACTCTTTAAGTACTTCTCCACATCCAATATACACCGGACCCCATCGTTCATCGCTTCTATTAAACTTTGTTCGTTCTTTGCCATTGTCTTCGTTTGAATGAGTTTCTCAAAACAATATAACAGTGCACTGACCCGATTGTCATTCCCTTCTTTGGAGTGGTGATTATTAATTGGAATAACATTGGTCTTTAAATGCTCAAGGTCTTTTAAGAGATCCTCTGGACTCACTCGCTCAATCTCTTCGATGGTTTGTGTTAATATTTTTATAACATCAGCAGAGCGACCAGCACGTTCTGCTATGCCAACTTCACTTTTTCTGTCGGACATATATTTCGGTAATGAAGTGATATTAACAGCAGTCTTGATCATCTTCTTTTCAAGTTTTCAGTTTATATATATTGGTTTATATATAACAATAGATACTATATTGTTATTAACTATAAAAAATGGAATATAACTATATATTATTAATATATTATTTTTTTGTTAAATTTATTATATATTTACTATATTTTTAGTAATAAAAAAATGGTAGGAATAAAAACTAAAAAAATAATATTTATTACTATTAATTATTTGTAACAATCAATGCAATAATAAAATGAAATGAAGAATTTATGTGACCATTATTTCCCACCCTTTTACCAAAATAATTTATTTGCCGTAATTTTTTTAAATAGAAGTCCACTTTCAGCTTCTGTTTGTGCGTGTCAAACACTTTTTTGTCCCTTCTGCAAACAAGAAAGGCGGTAAGAAGGAATCAACTTCAAGGAAGGACAAGAAAATTATGTAAAAGCGGTGCAAACATACAGTTCAAAGGTGTTTTTTTTTTAAGCTACAAATCATTCAGTTTTTACTGACTCAAAGTCACTGTTCGGCATTTTTTGAATCAAAGAACAATTTTAAATGTTTACTAAATTATTTATTTACTATAATTTGATTAAATAAAAAACCCATTTAATTTAAAGTTAAGAAATTATTAAATTTCTAATATTTTTATACAAATGAATGGAACAAACATGGTAAGTGTTCTAGATACAGAACATAACGTTACCTCCATGAAATGAGAGATTGATTCTCAAATAAACACTATCAATGCCTTATATACATATATAAGGCATTGATTATTATTGCCACTTTGGCAACGACAAACCATAATTCAAATTTTTGGAGAAAGTTTACTCATTATTTATGGAAATCAAAACTAATAAGTATTGATATAAGATTAAGTTCATAGTCCGAGTTAAAAAACGACCATTACCGTCGAAGTGCAACAACAAAAGTCGAATCAAAATCAACGTTTGCTGTTGGATCAAATATTTTCAAGTATTAATTACAACAACATCAATCGGAAAAAAATTACATTTTTAAATCGACAAGGTTTTACTATGTTGCAAATTGTTTAAACTAATTTAAAATTAATTATTTTATAAAAAGTCATTTTCATTATAATTATAAACTTTCTGTGACTTCAAATAGAAGTAAATTGTTAAATTACAACATATTAATTTGATGAAATAAGTATGTTATTTTATTTTCATTTTCGTTGTAAATTTTTAATTAATTATAATAAAAATTTGAATACATAAAAGAAAAATTGTTATTGTTCAAAATACATTTAAAAATATAATCAGTCTGAAAACGTTGTCCGCCCTTCAACGTTGTTTAGGCATTTTTAGATTATTAAACTGGAATCTACCAGGAAACAATTCGAAACACTCCCCCCAAAATCGTTTCATAATTTATATCAGGTTTTCAGAGTTTTTTCCTTAATTTTAAATTTTTATATTTATTTTGTGTGAAATTTTGACAAATAAACAACATTTTACAAGAAGACAACGTTTAAAATTAAAAAAGACAGACTTTATAAAATTTTTTCAAATCAAAATAACAAATTAAATTTAAATTTTATCTCTTTTTCCACAATTTGTAAAATGATTAAAAAAAAAATATTTTTTAAATTGTTGATGAATTTAAAAAGAAAGTTAAAAAAATTTACAAAACTGTTTTAAACAAAAATAATATATAAATTATTTGTAAAGTTGTAAATTGTTTAAATTATTTAACTAATTTAATAAAATATATTTTTATTAAATTTTTAATAAAAGTAAAAAAACAATTAAGGAAATAATCAATATACAAATTCAAATCTTACATAGAGTAAGAATTAAAAAATATATATTATATGGACGAATGGAAGAAAAGCAAAACAGACAGATGGATTGAAATTGTTCGGATATATTGTGATATATTCAACAGAATGAAAAGCTAATCACTCAGTAATTTTCTTCAATATATACTATTTATCTTTTTATGAAGATTTTTAACAAAAATACGAATTATTATTTTCTTATTTATTGCCATATTAATAAGCAATATTTACAACAGTGATGTATTTCTGTGCATATTTCAA